GCGCAGCCCGCCGTCATTGCAGGAGCAGCAGCAGCAGCAGCAGCAGCAGCAGCAGCAGCAGCAGCAGCAGCAGCAGCAGCAGCAGCAGCAGCCGGGCTCCCCGAAGCGCGCGGTGTGCCGCATCACAGCGGGTGCGGCAGGGGGGCCGTCGGCGCCGGCGCCTCGGCTCGGCGGCGTGCCCGGGTCGCCGGCAGGCCGCGGCCAACCGCAGCAGCAGCAGCAGCAGCAGCAACAGCGGCGGCAGCAGCAGCAGCAGCAGCAGCAGCAGCAGCAGCAGCAGCAGCAGCACGCAGCAGTTGGTGCAGCTGGGGATGCTGTTCCTCAAGGCGTGCAAGTGTGACGGTGCTGTTGGTGGCCTCGCCACTTGAGCCGGCCGTTCCGACCATCAGCGCTGTAAATGCAAACCACAATCTGCTTGCAACGGAGCATCGCTCTTGTGCCCATGTGTGTGGGTTGGGGCGGATCACCATTGCAGTTCACGCCCTGTTTGCCACGCCCAGGCTGCGCGTCGGCCCATGTCCGCTCAGCTTCCAAGGTTCCAAGGCGCAGGCTGAGCACCGGGCCGAGCGTTCCTGTTGGCCCCAAGTCCTGTAGCGTGGTTTGGTTTGGGGCCATGACAATGTTGGTGGGGATGCCCAAAGTGTTGATAAGGCCAACCCGCACCCGGCCTGACCCACCCCGCTTCCCCTGCCCCACCCTGCATTAGGCACACTTGCCCTTCCCTCCACTCCCAAGAGCCATCTGCTTTCCGTCGCGTGGCTTGCTGCAGGCGTGATGTATCCAATTCTAACCCGTCCCGCCCTTCGGCCGCTGCGCGGGGCCGCGCCGCTGCGCCCGCCATGTACAAGCCAGCCAGGCCTCGCTCCGTGAGGAAAACCTGCACTTGTGTCCCCACCAAGGCAGGGTCTGCATTGCAAACTGGACACATGCAGCACCCTGTTTACACCGGCAGGCGCATTTTCCTACTGAGGATGCCAGGCGAGGGGGTTCAACCAGGTAACGCGCCAGCGTGCCTGCGGCGCGCCATCATGGCAGGCGCATGGGTGACTCCTTCTAAGCAAGGAGCGCGGAACATTAACGGCAGGGGCCCCCAAACAGAGGGGTATCTCGTGCACACGCAGCTGAAGAGAGGAGCCCCAGCGAGTGAAAGCCAAACAAACGCCACGAGCTCAAGCGGCACAGTCCCAGCCCTGCGCGCTGAAGGGGGTCCCCTCGCACTCCTTGTGATTGCGTTTGGCCCAAGAAGCACAGCAGCGGCTGCCTAGTCCCTTCTCTCAAAGCCACCATAACTGCACATTCTTCACCAACACTGCACACCATGATAGCTGTAAGCTGTGTCGAGCAAAGGCGAGGCGGACGTGCATGCCACCAACAAGACGGCGGCCAGGGTACAGGCGGAGGGGGGAGGGCAGACGTGTGCCCAAGGGGGCTGTGAAATGCACTACCCAGTTGCTTTATGACACTGCGGCCACGTGAAACAAATAATTGGAGTTGCTATGGCGATATCTGCTTGCACTGCGGTAAGCGGCGGCGGTGCCCCAGGCGCCATTGCCGGTGCCGCAGGGGCGACGCCTACGCGCCGTTGCGGCGGCACACGGACTTTGTCTTGCCACGGGAGAGCCGCACCGTGCGGCAGACGACCTCACCGGGCCCCACCATCTCCAGGCCTTCAGTGAGGCCATCGGCCGGCAGCTCAGAGGACAGGTCCCCGTCGCTGAGGGTGCAGGGCGCCGAGGGGCGCTGCGGCACCTTGCTGCAGCTTGCAGCCTTCAGGCGGTGCACACGCGCCCTGGGGCTGGATGCAGGTGGGGGGTGGCGGGGGGAATTACGTGAGCTGTTGGTGGCGGCAACCGGCTCTCCAAGCGCCTCAACAGGCTGTCTGCCGCGGCATGCTTATTGACTGGTGCCGACGCATCCCCATGGCACATGCAAGACTTGCAGCCGGCTGCAGGCTCGCCCGCAGGCTGGTGCTCTCGTGCACGTATCTGCTGCTCGTTTGCAAGACGGCTGTGATTGCCTGACACAGCATCTCGAGTCGGCAGCAACACAGCGCAGCGGCAGCCAGGCACGTGCACGGCTGCACGCATCGCTGCGGTGGCTGCAGCGGCTCGCACACGCACATGCGCAGGCGGCGACAAAACATGCTGCTGTGCCCAGTGAACGTTCTCACCGCGGAGAAATAGTATCTGAGAACGCACCGCGCAGCCCGTTGCGCAGGCCGCGCTCCACGCTGCGGCCAGCGTCGGACAGACCGTTGCCGATGCCCTTTCCGAGGTCCGAGAGGCCCAGATGCAGGCACAGGCCGACGAAAGCAACGGAAACGCTCATCGCCAGCATCCCCCACTCCATTGTGGCTTGTAAACGCCGGCAATGACCAGAACGCAACAATGACAGGCAATGACAAATTGCGGCGACCAGAAGGAGGAGTGTCAGCATGTTCTAAACCAAACTTGCAACTGCGCAAGCTCTTGCGTCCTAAACACAAACTTTATCAAGAACATGCTGACAGCGATTTGTCATTGCCGAGTGTTCAAAGTTGCAATGGAGTGGGGGATGCTCGCCATGAGCGTGTCCATTGCCTTGGCCGGCCTGGGCATGGGCCTGGGCCTGGGCCTGGGCCTGTCAAACCTCGGACGAGGCGTGGAAGGCATCGGAAACGGTCTGTCCGACGCAGGCCGCAGCATGGAGCGTGGGCTGCGCGGTATGTTCTCAGAGACTAATTCTCCACGGTGAGAAAGGGTGGGAAGAAAGCGCACAGGGCATCGGAGCCTGTTCTCGTCCGCAAGTGCTCGCGTGCGTATGCGTGCGCGGGCGCGGGCGCGAGCGGCGCCCCGCCGCTGCTGCAGCCACCACAGCCATTCATGCAGCCATGCACGTGCCCAGCTGCTGCGAACTGCTGTGGTGCTGCCGGCTCAACTTGCCGTGTGACGGTGGCAGCCATACTCGCAAACGCGCAGCAGAGAAGTGCAGCAGAACGGTAGCCTGCGGGCGCGATTGCATGCGGCTGCACGTGATGCATGCGCAATCGGGACTGGTCGGCCCCAGTAGATAAGCATGCCGCGGCAGACAGCCTGTTGAGGCGCTTGTAGAGCCGGCTGCTGCCACAAATAGAACACGTAATTCCCCCCGCCACCCCCCACCTGCATCCAGCCCCAGGGCGCGTGTGCACCGCCTGAAGGCTGCAAGCTGCAGCAAGGTGCCGCAGCGCCCCTCGGTGCTATGCACCCTCAGCGACAGGGACCTGTCCTCTGAGCTGCCGGCCGACGGCCTCACCGATGGCGTGGAGATGGTGGGGCCCGGCGAGGTCGTCTGCCGCACGGTGCGGCTCGCCAGCGGCAAGACCAAGTCGGTGTGCCGCCGCAACAGCGCGTAAGCGCCGCCCCTGCGGCACGGGCGGCGGCACCCGTAGCTCCCACGCCGCTTAAGAAAAGCGTTTTCGCCGCCGAGAAGGTTGCGTGGCGGCGCGCTGCCGGGCGGCGAGGGCGCCGAAGGCGGCCACCCCACGAGGATGGCCGGCAGCTGCTCGCCGGCAGCAACGCTGCGCAAGCTGCTCGCGTCTGGCACGCCGCTGCAGCCGACGCTCCGTCAGGCTGTGCACGCGGCCTTGGAGCTGGCCCAGGCAGAACAAGTGGCTCTGCTGACCATACAGCGGCAGCTGCAGCAGGTGCTGCGCGAGCAGCGGGGCAGCGGCAAGGGGAGAGGTCGAGCTCTCTATCAGCGCCCTCGTCGCCAGGGATCGGGCCACGCGAGCCAGATGTCCTGTGCAGCGCGCCATGGCGGCGCCGCGGCATGGAGCCACTTATTTTGCAGCAGAAGCCGGCGCACACGCAACGCCCCCCACGGCAGCTGAGGCGCCCTTTCCTATGCAGAGCTATAAACCAAGCAGGCCGTAGTGCGCAAATGCAGCAGCGGGCCAGATGATATTGAGGCTGGGACGCTGGGCCGTTTTCAATCAGTTTTGTTCTTGGCAAAGGCTCAGCAGCAGTACCTCGCCTCCGCCTGCACCGCGGGGTGCCATCCGGCCGCCAAGGCGGCGGCGGCGACCGCTGGGGCAAGCGCCGGCCAGCCGCATGTCGCGCCACAGTAGGGGCGGCAGCGACAGCCGCGGCAGCAGCAGCAGGAGCAGCAGGAGCAGCCGCGCTGCCTGCTGCAGATGCACCGACGGTGTGAAGCGAGAGGCCTTCCCGCATCCTTGTCCTGTCCGGTTCAAGAGCCGCTGGAGTCCAGCAGGTCGTCATTGCTACCGGCATGCAACAGCTTGATGGACCTGGCGACGGAAGGCCAGCGGGCGATGCAGTCAGCCACTGGGGCCCACAGCTCTAGAGTGGAGACCCGTTCTATGCCTTGCGAGCTGGCGGACTCGCCGCACGGCATAGAGGCGTGCGGGGCTGCTGCGGCGGCGGCGCAGCCGGCACGGGGTGGGGCTAGCTGCAGTGGCGGCGGTGGCGGCTGCGAGAGCGGCGGAACAGGAGCAGCAGTGGCAGGTTTAGACAGGGGATCAACATGTGCGGCCCTGCCGGCAGGATCAGCGAGCAGCAACAGCAGCGGCAGCAGCAACAACAGCAACAACAGCAACAACAGCAGCAGCAGCAGCAGCAGCAGCAGCAGCAGCAGCAGCAGCAGCAGCACCAGCAGCATGACCTTTTCTCACACCAGCACCCCCAGCTGCAGCGGCAGGGCGACCAGTGGAAGCTAGATTTGAAGCCGGCGGAGGCGACATTTATCCACCCCTCGAGCGCTGGGCCTGTGGAGCATGGCGGACCAGTTGGTGGCCACAGCAAGACCCAAGGCGCTTGGGCGCACGCGCTCGCGAACGCCGATGAGGCGGCGTGGGGCCAGCGGCGGCTCGAGCAGCTGCGCCAGCAGCAGGAGGAGCGGATGCAGCGGGAGGGGGACCTGGAGGCGCTGCTGTTTGACCCGCTGCTGCCGCCGGGGGTCAAGGCGCAGCGCCTGGCGGCCGCATTCAGGCGCGGCAGCCAGGGGCGGGACGGGTGAGCGGGGGGCCCTTGCATCCGTTGAGGGTGCGCAGGGGGTCTCCTGCATAGGTTCACGCTGGCGCTGCTGTATCGCGTTCGTGATTGTATGTTGTTCCTCTCACAATGACGCCCTGCGGCCAGCGCCGTCGCGCCCATGGGCCCTTTGCCTGATGAATGGTGCCGTCTCCCTCCGCAGGGCGCTGCAGGCGCTCTCGCAGGCTGTGGACTTTCTCACCCAAGGCTCAGCCGCAGCAGAGGGCGGCGTGCAGCCGGCGAGCCCGGCCGGCCCGCCGCCGCCGCTGGCCGCCTTGTGAGTGGCGG